GTTTTCTTGTGTGTGTGGTTTCATACAAATTTTAGAATCTTTTGCTCTAGTTCTGTGACAAATGCTACTGGTATTTTGACATGGATTGCATTAAATGTGTGGATTGCTTTGGGTAGTATATACATTTTAACAATATTCTTCCAATTCATGAGCAGAGAATGTCTTTCCATGTTTTGTGCACCCTGAGTTTCTCTCATCAGTGTTTTTTTAATTTAAATTTTGTCAGTTTACATATAGTGCAATATTGGTTTCTGGAGCAGAATTCAGGGATTCATCACTTTACATACAATACCCAGTGCTTATCGCAAGTGCCCTCTTTAATACCCATGTAGCCCATCCCTCACCCACCTCCCTCTATTAAATCAGTTCATTCTCTATTGTTAAGAGTCACTTATGGTTTGTTTCCTCTCTCTTTTTTTCTTCTTTTCCCCCTTCCCATATGTTCATCTATTTTCTGTCTTAAATTCCTCATGAGTGAGATCAAGCCATATGTGTCTTTCTCCTACTGACCTATTTCACTTAGCATAATACTCTAGCTCCATCCATTTTGTTGCAAATGGCAAGATTTCATGCTTTTTGATGGCTGAGTAACATCACATTGTATATATATATATATATATATATATATATATATATATACTATATTTTCTTTATCCATTCATCAGGCAATGGACATTTGGGCTCTTTCCATAGTTTAGCTATTGTTGATAATGCTGCTATAAACATCGGAGTGCATGTACCCCTTTGAATCTGTATTTTTGCATCCTTTGGGTAAATACCTAGTAGTGCAATTGCTGGATCATAGAGTAGTTCTGTTTTCAACTTTCTGAGGAACCTTAATACTGTCCCCCAGAGTGGCTGCACCAGTTTGTATTCCCACCAACAGTGTAAGAGGATTCCCCTTTCTCCACATCCTCAATTTTAGCCATTGTGACAGGTATGAATTGGTATTTCATCTTGGTTTTGTTTTGTATTTCCCTGATAATGAGTGATGTTGAGCATCTTTTCATGAGTCTGTTAGCCATGTCTATATCTTCCTTGGAAAAATGTTCTATTCATGTCTTCTGCCCATTTCTTAATTGGATGGTTTATTTTGGGGGTGTTGCATTTGATAAGTTCTTTATAGATTTTGGATACTAACCCTTTATCAGATACTAACCCAAGTATCTTCTCCCATTTGGTATGTTGCCTTTTAGTTTTGTTGTTTCCTTCACTGTGAAGAAACTTTTTATCTTGGCGTGAAGTCCTGATAGTTCATTTTTGTTTTTGTTTCCCTTTCCTCTGATGATGTGTCTAGTAAGATATTGCTACTGCCGAGGTCAAAAAAGTTGCTTGTGTCCTCCTCTAGGATTTTGATAGATTTCTGTCTCACATTTAGGTCTTTCATCCATTGTGAATTTATTTTTGTATATGGTGTAAGAAAGTGGTCCAGTTTTATTCTTCTGCATATTGCTGTCCAGTTTTCTCAACATATTTGTTGAAGAGACTGTCTGTCTTCCACTGGGTATTCTTTCCTACTTTGTCAAAGATTAAATCCACTCCTGGATTTTCTATTGTTTCACTGATCTGTGTGTCTGATTTTGTGCCAGTACCATACTGTCTTGATGACTAGAGTTTTATAATATAGCTCAAAGTCCAGAATCATAATGTCTCTGGTTTTGCTTTTCTTTTTTTCAGGATTGCTTTGGCTGCTTGGGGTCTTTTGTAGTTCCATGCCAATTTTGGGATTGTTCATTCTAGCTCTGTGAAAAATGTTGGTGGTATTTTGAAAAAGATTGCATCAAATATGTAGATTGTTTTGGGTAATATAGACATTTTAACAATGTTTGTTCTTCTGATCCATGAGCATGGAATGCTTTTCCATTTCTTTGTGTCCTCTTCAAATTCTTTCACAAGTATTCTATAGTTTTCAGAGTACAGATATTTTACTTCTTTAGTTAGATTTATTTCTAGGTATTTTATGTGTTTTGGTGCAATTGTAAATGGGATCAATTCCTTGATTTCTCTTTCTGGTGTTTCATTATTGGTGTATAGAAATGCAACAGATTTCTGTACATTGATTTTATATCCTACAACTTTGCTGAATTCATGTATTAGGTTTAGTAATGGAGGGGTGACGTCTTCCAGGTTTTTTACATAGAGTATTGTGTCATTTGTAAAGAGTGGAAGTTTGACTTCTCCCTGTCAATATGGTTGCCTTATTTCTTTTTGTTGTCTGATTGTTGAGGCTAAGACTTCCAGTACTGTGTTAAATGTGTGGGAAATATCAGAAAGGGAGACAGAACATAAAGACTTCTAACTCTGGGAAATGAACTAGGGGTGGTGGAGGGGGAGGAGGGCAGGGGGTGGGGGTGATGGGTGACGGGCACTGAGGGGGACACTTGACGGGATGAGCACTGGGTGTTATTCTGTATGTTGGTAAATTGAACACCAATAAAAATTAATTTAAAAAAATTAAATAGTAATGGTGAGAGTGGACATCCCTGTCTTGTTCCTGACTATAGAGGAAAAGCTCTCAGTTTTTCCACTTTGAAGGTGATATTAGCCTTGAATCTTTCATATATGGACTTTATGCTGATGAAGTATGTTCTATCTATCCCTACTTTGAAGATTTTTATCAGGAATGCATGCTCTATTTTGTCAAATGCTTTTTCTGAGAGGATCATATGGTTCTTACCTACCCTGATCATTCTTACTTAAAGGCACTGGAATAATTTTATTTGAAAGGGAAGCTAGTAGTGCCTGTTCAGAATGCCCATTATCTAAAATTTCCTTCCACCCAACTGTGCTTGAGGTGAGATCACTGGCCCTCCTTGCTAATGTCACTGTCACCTACAGACAGAGTTACTTGAATTACACAGGCTCAGTGAGGTTGCCCAGTTATATAGGCTCACTGCTTTATTCAGTGTTCCTCCATGATCCCTAACCTATAAGACATTTGCCTTCCAGGCTGAAGCAATAGTGGATCTGGATGTGTATACCTAACTATGTGCAGACAACTGTCGGGTGCCTTGGGGAATGCAGAACTAGGTTGTAAGATTGTCCACCAAGACCTTAAAGGCAATCAACAATAATGCAAAATCATCACAGGGAAAGAATAACTCAAGAAGGGAAATGGAAAGTGTTGACATATCTGAATTAAAAACATATCCACTAAAAGGTGGGCACTCAGGTTTCATCCAGGCAGTGGGAAATCATGACAAGTATGGTTCAATGGATAAGAAAGAGTAAATACAAATGGCTAATTAAAATTTGATGAAAAAATGTTTAATCTCACTATTAATCAAATACATGAAATAAAAGTCAAATATTATTTTAAGCTTATATTTAGTTGATAATGCTTAATATTAACAAGGGTTCCATTAAATGGTCAGAGCTACATTTTCTGATGAAAGTGTAAAGTGCATTTTGGAAAGCAGATGGGCCACAAAAAGGGAGAATCCTTAAAATATTCACATCTTCTAAAGAATAATATTGCAATACTCATATCTTCTATGTCAAGAAGCCTTTCTACATATAATAAAGTCTAAAGATAACAGAAACCCCAAAGTAACAATAGAAAACAACAAAAGTGTTATCTGCAAGGGAGGCTCCAAAACATAGTATTTTAGTTGGACATTACCATCCAAAATAAAATTGAGATTTTGTCATTAAGGAGGAAAGGCAGAATGGATATTGGGTGGGTAACCATCATGTTTTGCTCCATTATCCTAGGGAGCAAACTTGAACTCCACATAATTTTCAAAAAGTCATTCATTTTTAGGGAACAGCCCAAATTTTCAAAATTACAGGAATACTTAAAATTACAAATCAATTCAATGCAAAGAATGTTGTCAACAAAGGTTTGATAGTTGAACCTCTTTGTTTAATGCTAATTTTTAAAATGCAGTTTTATTACATTATTATTTTACTGTATTACATATAGTATTAAAGCTTATAATCTTATATGTGGATAAAAACAGTCACAGAAAATTTTTTTATACTTTTCTCATTGTCCATATTTTCTGTAAAGAGCATATCTAAAATACACACTAAGAAAATTGTGGACATTATTTTTTGAAACATTATCAATGATGACAAATTCCCAGATTTGAGAAACAGGATATCAGAGTGGAGATTTCTCATGTTGTTGCAAACAAAATTAATACAACGGGCTAACACATAGCCTGGCAAATTTTTCAAATTTAAAGGAAAAATCCTACAAACAGTAAATTGGGAAAAGCAGGTCACCTTCAAATGAACTAGACTCAGGTTGGCCACAGATTTTGTCTTTAGTCATCATGCTCATCTTGCACTATTTGCACTTTAAGAACTTTTATTTACTTGTCCAATACCTTGTGAGGTAGGTACTATCGTTAGTTCTATTTATTTTACAAGGAACATGAGTTGAGGGAAGTTAAGGGACTTGCTTGTGTCTCACAGATTGTCAATAACGCAGTTGAAATGCAAACTCAGGCAGCGTGGGCCCCCAAGACCATATCTTTTCTATTTATGTAGACAGGATTTTGAAGAAAAGCAGACTATGATGCAAAGAGTTTATCGTTGATGTGTATCTTGGTTTAGAAAATATAAAATATGCCTCCCATCCATGTATTTCAGTAACTTCTCAAAGTCCTCCTCCAAATTGCCAAGACACTAACCACTAATCACAATTAAATAACCAAAAATTACAGAACTGGTGGACTGGTGGTAGGCATCAAACCACCTAGAATCTTAGAAGTAAGGGTTTAAAACAAATAACCTCTAATGGGATAGGATGGATGCTGAGAAGTTGGAATAATGGATGTCACTTGGGTACAAAGACCAATTTTTGATGACAGATATTTAGAAAGATGTCAGATCTGTCCATGGAGCCACAAGTTGAATAAGCATCATCAGATGTGGCCTGCCTGCCTCATAGGAGGAACTACATGGCAGTTCCTGGGGTGTCCCTCTGGAGATGGTTATATCTTCGTGGGTTCTACTCTGCTTCTCAGTACCGTGCAATTTTTGTTTTTCAGCTGAAACTAAGATCTGCTTCAAATACTACCATGGTGTGAGTGGAGCCCTCCGAGCCACCACCCCCAGTGTCACAGTCAAAAACTCTGCAGCTCCTGTAAGTCCCATTTCTTCCTCTTTGGTCAGAGCTAACCCTGGTGTTTCTTTGCTTTCCCATGTGTGTGTGTGTGTGTGTGTGGGTGGTAGTACACATATGGGGATATAGTGGTAGCTTATGATAAGTAGATAGAAATGCATCTCAAAATAGTGAAAAGGAATGGGATCCAAAGGCAAACTTATTAAAATTGCATCACTTTTTGTTTGAGAAATGTTAGACTTCAATAGTGAGATGTTCGTAATAGATTCATGCTTAATAGCAGTGAATAACAAATGTTCCTTTAGAACATATTTTTTAAAATTCCTTGGTCTTAAGTATTTATATTTTCATACGTTTTAATTTCTTTTTAGGCTTATAAATAAGTTTATGGAATAGAAATTTATAAACTCAGACTGATTTTGGTTATAGAATAATGAAATAGTAGACCTAGAAAAGACTACAATCGCTGGTCCTTTTTTCCTTTATATGAATGAGGAAACTGCCTGCAGTGCCTAAGTGTACCTGAGCTCACAGTTGCAGACCAAGGATTTAAGACACATCTTTTGTTTGTTCCTCTCTGGTTTTGCTCAGTACTCCAAGAATAGATGCTGTCTTTTCCTAAATTACAGGCTAGTTTGCATCTTTGTGGTGTTTCTTACCTCCATTTTCAATACATCTGATTAGCTGAAATCTGCTATCAAGTGGCATTCCACTTCCTTTTCACATAAATTAAAGATTTCTCAGTGGGGGAAGCTGACCAAAAACCAGTAAGGACTTTGTCAGGGTGATGTAAGTAAAAAAGATTTAGTTTCTTCCGTGTAAAAAAAAGAAAGAGCCTGGATGGCTCAGTCAGCCAAGCATTGGATTCTTGATTTTTGCTCAGGTCTTGATCTCAGGATTGTGAGTTCAAACCCCACGTTGGGCTCCAGCAGGAAAATTTGAAATGAAATATGAATGATTTGGAAAGAACTTTGCCAAAAAAAAAAAAGAAAAAGAAAGAAAGAAAGAAAGAAAGAAAGAAAGAAAGAAAGAAAGAAAGAACTTTGCCTCTAAAGACTTGGGTTTGCTGTTTCATAAGTCAGTTCTTCAAGGTGTAAAAGATGAATGACTGGAGTCCTTGGTGGTATAAGCAAGATAAGCAGGCCATGGGCTGGGCTGTCTCCATCCATAGAGCTGGTGCAGAACTGGATTCTGGCCAGAGAGGAGGTCCAGGGCTTCCTGTCCGATGACATATAGCAGGAGGCAAGGCCAGGGAGAGAGAGGGACCGTCTGCATTTCTGACTGCTTGTACCATTTTATCCTGCAGTAGTCAGACAGACTGGAGAGTGATGTCTGTCATTTTACTGGGTAAGACAGAAACATAAGTGTGGTGATTTAGAGAAGTATTCCCAGAGTGCCAAACTCTGCTCTCTGGGCCCATCACATGTGGGGAATTCTCAAAAGAGGGTACCTGGAAAAGCCAAAGAGGCCCTGACATAAGTAGCCAATTGTCAAGGCAAGGAGCGTGAGCTAAATCCAAGGTGGCAAAGCTGGAGCTGGGGCTGAACCAGGCACAAGGTAGACAAAGCAGAGAGACCCTGAACACACAGGAGAGAAGAAAGGAGGATGGAAGTGGAGGCAGCTGACTCAGGAAAAACCTTACAGACGCAGGCACAGCATGTCATGCAATGAGGCAGCTTCTCTCCAGACACACTGATTTCTCAGCCAGGATGGGCTTGCCCACTGATGGACAAGCCTTTTTGACTCAAGACTGGAATGGGGGAGGAGAGTTCTTCACCTGTTTCTGCCTGGAGTGGTACTGTGGGTGAGCTTGGGCAGCCCTGAAATCTTTAGGATTCCTTTTTTAGAGAGGACTCTCTGGAGCATTTGGCTTTTCTGAACTCAGCCTCGTGGGGACTCCAGATATAATCTGCTTCTCAGACCAATGCAAAATGCAATACATATCATCACAGAGGTATGCAGTGTAAGCCTAAGAGATGCCAACCACCTGGAACAAGGTGCCAACTACCTGGAAAGCTGCCTGGATTGCACAGTAGACAAGCTTTACGAAGTGGGATAAACTGTCAACAAACAGGCTTTCCAGGAGCTGCCAACAAGAAGCAAGGGCTGTCTGAGAAGAGGAAACAGCATGGGAAGTGCTTCAAGCTACTGTCTGACAGGAAAGGTCAGGAGATTGCATTGAATCTGAGTCAGCCCCAACCTCATCGTTGTTATCCCACCTGTGCCAGCATTGCTTATGCTTAAATCTCTGATAGCTTGACGTACTTTTGCAATGCTGTCATCCTCATGATCATCCCCTTAATGACTTTCTCCTATAAATCAGTAGACACTTGGGTTGACCTTTTATGTATGTTCCACAGACAACTGTTGTTTCTGTTCCTAATCCCCACACATGTGAGCACCAGATCATAAGGCCAAATGATGCCAGGGACGGAGAGGAGTCCTCGCACTGCCATGTTGGAGTCATCCGCAGAGGGAGTATGCATTTTCCTGCAGAAGTGCAGTTGGGTTTTATAATAGCTAAGCTAGTGGCTATTACAGCCTGGTGCACTCTTTGGAGAGTTTCACTTGCCTTATTTTAGTTGATTCACAGCACATCTGTGAGACAGGCAGGAAGTGCCATTTTGGTTACATAACCATTTGGCTATCTGGTGATGGAGCTGAAAAAAATCTCAGTTTAGTTACTGATATAATCTAGCAGCCTTCTGGGTGAAATAAGTGTTTGCAGTCTGGTCTAAGGACTTATGCACACTGTTTCTAAGGGGAAATGCTATTCAAGTTTTCCAAAATCAATTTGCCAATAAACTTTGAAGTATCCATTTTATCCACTTTTCAGTGGAGGATTTCTGGTACTGCACTAATCTCTTATGGAAAGATGGCTGCCAGTGGCCATTATGTCAAGTCCCAAGGGTCAATGAGTTATTCTGTGGCAATATGCTAAACGTATAATTCTTTGAAAAGGAGGAAAAGATGTCAAATGCCCCTTTAGTATATAATCAGCCCTTCAGTGTTTTGAGCACAATATGTTTTCATTATTTTTCTCATTTCCTCATTCCCCCTTATCCTGTTTTTTTCCTACTAACAATCGTTGAGGACCTAGTGATAAAAAGAGGTTGTCACCTATCCTTACCTTTCAGAGGGTCTCATTTTTTTATTATTCTTAATTGTATATACTAATTGTATGTCAGAAACTATGATGAGTAAGGGGTGTAGAACTCAATGAAATACAAGTCCTGGCCTTGAGAACTCATGGTTATTCTATTATGAGTTATAAATACTACTGGAATATAAAGGAAGGGAGAAGAAATGTGTGGGAGATATCAGAAAGGGAGACAGAACATAAAGACTTCTAACTCTGGGAAATGAACTAGGGGTGGTGGAAGGGGAGGAGGGCGGGGGGTGGGGGTGAATGGATGACAGGCACGGAGGGGGACACTGACGGGATGAGCACTGGGTGTTATTCTGTATGTTGGTAAATTGAACACCAATAAAAATTAATTTATAAAAAAAATACTACTTGAAATGTCTGGTGCTCGCGTGTGAAAACCCATTGGGCTGGTGTGTAGAGAAAGCAGTGAGGAGGTGCCTGCAGTGGCTGAGAAGGCTTTCAGAGGAGGGAGCGTGTGGGCAGCATGAATGGGATTTGAGAGGCCTGGGATTGAGGTAAGGCACCTGCAGGACAGCAAGTGCAGAGGTGTGGGGTTATAAAGTGCCGCAGGCCTGACAAGAAAGGAGACCTAAATTGTGTTAGGTCTGAAGAACATATGACATATATCACCCTGCACTTTGTTTTTCATATTGTTTGTATCTTATTGGGAGCATCTACCATATGTTTTATATTTTACTTATATTTTCTATAGAAAATCATGTTCAAAATAAGCTCTTTCAGCATTTTTGCCACCTTTCTCTTGTGCATCAGTCTCTCTTCTAAGCCTCATGATATTTTTTCCATCTCCTTATTTATACATCAAAGGACAGAAATCTCTCCATACCTACAATTCGCCAAAAGATGGGGCAGGTAAATTGTTTTAGCTCAGCACTGTGAATTTTCCAGCTTTTCCTTCAGGTATATACATATATACCTGATTATATATATATAATTTTCTAGCTTTTTCAATGAGATATTGGAAGTGAACAAAATCCATTTCTACTCCTTCTTCCACCACTTTGATCCAGTGTCTCTGCAAGCAAGTTTTTAATAATTGAACAGCAGAAAGATCAAAGTTCTCTGCCAAAATGTGAAATATCTTTCCATAAGTTCATGTTCACAGATTCATTTGCTTTGTCAACCCTTTAGCAGAGATACAGTTCACATTCTCCTATTTGAAAAAAAAATCAAGTGAGTAGGACATTTTTCTGAGAATGTAGGTTAAGTTAGTACTCTAAAATAAGATCAGATTGATGGGGCACCTGTGTGGGTGGCTAGTCAGTTAAGTGGCTGTCTCTTGGTTTCAGCTGAGGTCATAATCTAAGGGTCCTGAGATTGAGCCCCTCATCTGGCTCCAGGCTCTGGAAGCTGGATACATGGAGTCTGCTTGTCCCTCTCCCTCCCTCTTTCCCCTTCTGCTCCTCTCTCTGCTTCAGCTCTCTCTCACTAAAATAAATAAATGAAATCTTTATAAATAAAATAAAAAATAAAATAGATGAGATTGAGATTTTTCCTCCACAAACAGTCTGGGTCTCCTGCAATGGACAAATAGGTGAATAAATAGCCCCCAAACTCTTAAGTCATTAAACTTGGTTCTAGTAATATTTGTGTTGGGAATTTTAAAAGCAGACTTTTTGGAAAAGTATTTTAAATTATTAAAAATAACCATAGGCTAGCTACCTTAAAGTAACAAATCTCCTGGAAAACACTCTGGCCAGATAAGTTGCAAAATTAACTCACATGCTAGTGAATGGGGAGATCAACTGTCAAGAATTGTTAGACATAAACTGATAATTTGATCAACTTCACAGAAAAGAATAAAATGGTCTTGTGGTTTACGTTTGGCAGAGATTAAGTGGAAGACTAGTTGCTG